CGCCCGCGCCCGCACTCTAGAAATTTTTAAAAATGATTTTTTTCAGTTTATTTTTTGCAATTAGTCTTTTTCAATAGTCTGCTCTGCTTGTGTTAGTTTAGGAAAGCAGTGTGTTTCTAAAAATATGTACATTTATTTAGTCTAGGTTTTCAAATTTGTGGGATCTTCATAATACTCTGTTATTACTATTTTTCTTGGAGTTTTTTTTAATGACACCTTAGATTTAATTTTGTATCTGTGTTATTTACGTTTCTTTCTCATTCCCTTTTATAGCATTTTCCAGTGGTTTGTCAATTTTATTAAAAATCTTACTTTCTAATAGCCAATTTCTAACCTTCTTGATTCTTTCTCTGGGTTTCTTTCATTTATTTCTTATCAATCTTCATTTTTTTTTTTCTGCGTGAAGACTAGAGTTTTCTTGCTGTTCTTTTTCCAATTCTTGCATATTTTGAGACAGGGTGTTTGAGATAGTCCTTTCTTTTTTTAAAAAAAATTTTGTGCACTTACTGCTATGAAGTGCCCTCTGAGTGCTGCTTTTGTTGTGTTCTAAATATTTCAGTATTCTTTATTTTCATTCTTATTTCAAGAATTTTTTCCGTTTTATTTTTTATATTTTCTTGTGTCCAATACCTCTGAAAACCCACTGAAGGATAAACTATGTGTTCTTTCCAACTCGATGCTATGCAACAAAAACAACACTACCCAGTAGTTTCAAAGCACTGTGTTATTTATTTTACATGTATTTGGCTTTTTACTTTAGTCATTCTTTTGTTGATTTCTAATTTTTTTTATAGCATTGCAGTACTGAAAAGCAACGACGTCAGACTGGAAACTAAGGTACACCTGATCCAGGCTATGGTCTTCGCAATTACATGCTATACATCAGAGAGTTGAACAGTGAATAGGGATGATAGAAAGAGAATTGATGCCTTTGAGCTGTGGTGCTGAAGAAGAGTGTTGAATATAGCATGGACTGCTAGGAGAACAAACAGGTTTGTCCTGGAGAGGGTGAAGCAGGAAGGCTCTTTGGAGTAAAGGATTCTGCAGGTTTGTCTGACATATTTTGGGCATGTTGCAAGGAAGGACTGGTCCTTGGAGAGGAACATCACGTTTGGCAGAGTGGAGGGGCGGCGAAGGAGAGGAAGACCTTCGATGAGATGGATCGATTCTGTGACTGGAGCGGTGGAAATAAGTGCGTTTGTTATGGCTAGATTGGCACAGGATAGAAGAGCGTAGGGTCGCTATGAGTGGCAAGCGACTCGATGGCACATAACAACAACAACAAACAACAGGCTTTAATTTTAGTTGGGTCACAAGTGGATGCATAACATTGGATTTTCATGGGACAGTGAGCGTCTTTATTTTTTAGCACAATTAGAAAGATTAAGAGTTACGGTCCACTCTTTGTTCTGAAATGAAGTGTGAAAGTGAGAATCTAAAATATTATAAATTTCTCCAATTTAGTTATATGTGTTAAAAAGAAATTTTAGCAATAAGAGTGCCATACAAAATTTGGGAAATCCTTCAAAACAACTATGAGATATCATATCACCCCAGTAAGACTAGCAAAATTTAACACCAATTCTGATGCCACATTTCTCACACATTTGTTTTGTGATACTGGTGAATAATGTTGTATGGACTGTCAATAGAACAAACATATATGTCCTGGAGGAAGTGCAACCAGGTGCTCCTTAGTGACAAAGGTGGTTAGACGTCATCTTACATACTTCAAGCATATTGGTAGAAGACCAGCCTGGCCTTAGAAAAGGACACGCTACTAGAAAAAATAATGGGCCAGTGAAAAACAAGACTATCCTCAGTGACATTGATTGACACAATAACTACTGTAATGAACTTGAGCTTGGCAGAAATTGTAAGAATGTTACAAGATAGGGTAGTGTTCATAGGATTACTATAAGTCATAGTTTACTTGATGACAACAAAAGCAATCAAGTCTCATTCAATAGATACTACATTAAAATTATTTGTTACTTATCTGAAATTCAAGTTAACTTGATGTATTGTATTTTTATTTGCAAGATCCATCTTGAAGTACAATATTGTCAGTAACAGGATAATATCCATACGCATATAAGGAAGTCCAGTGACTACCACTGTCATTCAAATATATGCACCAACAACCAGAGCCAAGGAAGA